AAAAAAATGGATTGAGAAAATTTGAAAGAACAAGTAAAAAAATATGGCATGAGGAACTCTAACACGATGGCAATTGCTCCTACTGCTACTATTTCTAATGTTGTCGGATGTTACCCTTGTATCGAACCCCTCTATGATAACCTTTACACCGAAAGTAATATGATGGGAGAGTTTGTGATAGTAAATAAATATTTGGTGGCAGACTTGAAAAAAATAGGTTGCTGAAATCAGGAAATATTAGATCAAATAAAGTATCAAGGAGGTAGCATCCAAAACATTCCTAATCTTCCCCAATCCTTAAAAGATAAATATAGAGGAGCATTTGAATTAGATCCTTTATGGATGATTAAAATCACTGCTGAACGAAGTAAATGGATTGACCAAAGTATTAGTCATAATGTATTTATAGCAAAACCCTCTGGACTAGAATTGAGCAAGATTTATTTTACTGCTTGAGAATCGGGTTTAAAGACCACTTATTACTTGAGAACGTTAGGTGCTAGTCAAGTTGAAAAATCTACTTTGGATGCTAGTAAATTCGGTTATACTCAAAAACGAGATAGTGAACAAAGTAGGTGTCTAATTAGTAGAAACAAAGAAGATTGCGAAAGTTGCCAATAAAAAAAATAGTGCTTATTAACCACCGGAGAAGTTTCGGTGGAAGTAATAAATCAAGGACAAAATGAAAAAAACCATTCAAGGACAAATCCATCCTAATCAAGAGATAAAAAAAACCCTAGAAATAATTTCTCGAGGTTGTCAAAAAGTCTACAATCATTTTATCGGAGACAAGAAAATTAAAAGCAAAGGCGTTCTTTAACTTTTTAAAAACTGACAAAAGTGAATCTAAAAATTACTAAAATTAAGACATTATTTGTCAAAACTGTTTAAACTTCATGTTTTTTGATTAAAATTATTAAAATGGCTTATCAACTAAAAAAAATAGATAGAATAATTAACAGCATTAAGGATGATGACTTTTTTAAGCAAGCTCTTACCCATGCTTCTTACTGTAATGAAAATAATTTGGGTTTCTCTTACGAAAGGCTAGAATTCTTAGGCGATGAAATTTTAAACTTTTATACTTCTCTTTTCATTTATCATAGTTTTCCTGATTTTGCCGAAGGAAAGATGAGCAAGTTGAAACAATTAATGGTGCAAGAGAGCACATTGGCTTATTTAAGCCGAGAAATTGGGCTGAATAGGATGAATGAAGAAGGAAAACTAGAATATTTAAAATTAGGGGAAGGAGAAATGAAAAATCAAGGAGCTAATAAAAGTAGTATTTTGGCTGACATATTTGAATCTTTTGTAGCGGCTTTATATTTAAAAAGAGGCGGTAAGACTGTTTATCGCTTTCTTAGTTTGACCGTTTTTACCTGAGTTAAAGGTAAAGAGAATATGATTTGAGACTATAAAAGTTATCTTCAAGAATATTGCCAGCAGCACAAAAATAGAATTAGATACCAAACCAAAGGAATAAAAAGAGGAAAGGATAATCGATTAATATTTATTAGAGAAGTTAGTGATGAATTAGGAACTTTTAGAGAAGAAGGAGAAGGACATAGCAAAGATGAAGCGGAAAAAGAAGCCGCCGCCAAAGTAATTAAAAAATTAGGGATTGAAAAAAAAGAAAATGAATAAGAAGTGTGAACTTTAAGACAATGACAATAAACAAAAATAGATTTGGTTATCTTTAAGGTTTGAAGTTGACATGTTTAATATTTTTTTATAAAAAATAAGGGATAATACAATACAAAAAATTAATGTCTGCTTTTGACCCTTGTCTTAAAATTAATCTGTAATTATAGTTCAATAAAAAAGCGGTAAATTTTATTTGTAAATTAAAAATATAGAATGCTTGTTAATGATTAAGTATCTATATATTACATTATTCATAATTCATGCTCATTTTCTAACTTTTAAACTTGAAATTATGACAAGTAAAAATCATAAAATAAATTTAAGAAGATAAAAATAATGCTAAAATGTTAAAAGATAAGAAAATTTTTTTAGTAAAATAGTTAATAAAGAATTGTTTAAAAAGGAATCGAAAGAAAGCGAAAAATATAAAATTAAATTAAATAATATAAATAACATAATAATATGAAAATATACGACGAAAGCAAAATTAAACCAAATGACCCATTACGGGAGCAAAAAATAGCGACCTTAACGAGGATTGAAGAATTAAATAAGGATTTGAAAAAGGATACCGAAGTTTGATACCTTCGAGATAAGGTAATCGAAAAATATATACCTATTATCATCCAAGAAGCATGTGGCAGCGAGGAAGATTTGATAGAAAAAATTATTAATGGTCAGAGTGAAGAAGAGATAAAAACCATTGAAGTTAAAATTAATGAAGCATTGGAGAGACATGGTTGGGAACTAAGTCATAATTTACAGGATATATATCATAACGATTTATTAACAAGTGTAATAGTTATATATTCTTATGAGCATAAAGGAAAAGATGATGAATTATTAGTAAGGTTAAAAAACGATTTGATAAAATTTGATGAAGTGGTGCCGGAGATTTATCGCGCTTATGATGATAGTGATTTATTTGTAAAAACTGCCATCGACATGATGAGGGATAGTTTATTAGCAAACATTGAAGATTGTGAAGCGAGGATAGAAAAGAGTCAAGGAGATTCAGAGCAACAAAAAAAAGATAAAAAAGTATCCCAAGAGGGAAATAAAGTTCGGGTTATTTTATGTTGACTTCAAATGTGTGAATTTAGTTGGAGTTCGCAGAGTAGTAGTGTGGTGGTGAACCGTTATAGTTTCACATTGAACAAAACGAAGCATTTTGGTCCAACCTTAACTGTAGAAGCCTTTCGAAAAGAATTAGAACGGGAAATTAATGAGGTGAATGATGAATGATTACCAGTCGGAAAAAAGAAAGCCGATTTATTAAAAAAATTAGAAACAGTTATTGAAAATGGAGTTAGGAAGGTTGAGAGCCAAAATGTTTCGCCATCTACTTCAACGGCCAATAATAGCGATGCCAGTGATGATTATAGTGAGACAAGTTCTATTTTTGATGAACATGAAGAAACTGATAATAACTCGGATAACTCTTCTGATAATGATGATAAACAAAAACTAGATAACCAGAAAGAAGATCCTAAACTTATTGAAACATGGAGAGAACAAAATATCAGAACTATTACGAAATTCTTAAACAAAGAACCAGTAGTTAAAGAAGTGGATTTAGAAGCCGAAAATCGTAATTGATTAGAACAAATAAAAGCGACTGACAGTTGAACAAAAATAAATGATATTAGCCAGAGGGTTTGAGGTGATATTACAAAGAAAAGAAAAATTAAGCAACAAAATGCTGCCTTAGATGCTATTTTAGAAGAGACAGTGGACGCCAGAAATTTTGATAAACATTTCCAAACCGCTCAAAGAAGTTTAGGAGAGGTTGAACTCCAAGTTAAAGCAGAAAGAGCCAAAAAAAAATTAATTGAGAACGACCCGGAACTTTATTTTGATACCTTTAATAACTGAGTAAAGAAAGAAGAGGAAGCGTTAGAACTGGAAGCGAAAAATAAAGAGTTAGTGGCAGAATTAGAAGCCATTTCAGAGATAAACTATAATGAAGAAGAAAAACAATTTTTAGCAGGACAAATTACTGACCAGCAAAAAAAAGAAGAAATCGCCCAGCGAATTGAAGAAAAAATTAATGTTAAGAAAAAAACTTGAAGTTTATGAAAATGAATCAAAGTCCAAGCCAAATGAGTAAAAAACAAGGCTAAATTGTTAAAAAGGAACAATAAAGTCGGATTTGAGAAAAAAGCCAATCAAATTAAGCAAGAAATCAAAAATGCCGAAAATAGTTCTAATTTACATACCCAGCAAGCTTTTAAACATGCTAAAAATAAAGCCGAAGCATTGTTAAAGGACTTAGAAAATATTTCAGATGAAAATGATACTAATACTGCTAAAAATAATAACTTCCCAACTAGTTGAGTAGTGGGAATTGGAGTAGCCTTATTAACTACCACCCTGATTACAACTTTAATTATTAGACGAAAGAAGAAAAAGTTGTCTAAATAAAACTTTACTGGGAAATTAATGAGGGACTAAGGACTAAAGGATAAAAATCTTAGTCCTTTTTTATAAATTGTATGGATTATGATTTTGAGAAAAACGAGCAGAGATTATGAATAATGTAATAGATAAAATGAATTAAGAGTGATGGGGAGATATAGAGACAGTTGAATTGTTGTCTAATTCTTCACTTATTGTGGTGAGGGTTAGAGTAATTAGTTGTTATGCTAAACTATTTAGTAATTAGATATTAGATATTAAAACGACAATAAAGTAAGTTCAATTGCTTACTAAATTGCTTCCAAAGTCAGTTCGCTAATGCTGTTTAAAAATTAGCAAGGATTAAATAAAAAGCAAAAGTATTAATAAAAAATAACAAAAACTTGTGGTAAATAACAATTATTTTTTACAGAAAATTTTCTTTTATTCTTAACTACAACGAAAGCAAAAACTATATAAAATTACTTTAAAAATGTCAATGGTGGAAAAAGATATTATCGAAATCAAGAAAATTAAAAAGTCTTATGGGAATAAACTAGTTTTAAAAAATATTAGTTTCTCAGTTCAAAAGGGTAGTATTCATGGTTTTATCGGTCCTAATGGAGCAGGCAAAACCACTACTTTGAATTGCTTGATGGGCGGAGCAAAACCAAATGGAGGAGAAATCTATTTGGAAGGACAAAAAATTGGTGAGGATGAATTAATTAACCAAAAAATTGGTTTCATGACCGAACAAGCCAAATTTACCGAAGACCTAAAAGTAGAAGATTTTATTCATTTGGCAGGAAATTTGCGGAACCTTCCCTCTCAAAAAGTAGAAGCCCGCTTGCGACAATCAGACTTAAATAACCACCGTTTTAAAAAATGTGGAGAGTTATCGACTGGTTGGAAAAAGATTTTACTTTACTTTGTTTCAGTAATGCACGACCCTGATATTTTGGTGTTGGATGAACCAACTTCTGGCTTAGACCCTTCTTATCGTGGCATTTTATTAAGACAATTAGAACAAGTGCGAGAACGTGGCGGAACCGTTTTAATTTCCAGTCACATTTTATCAGATTTACAAAAATTAGTGGATTCTGCCACTTTAATTGACAAAGGTAAAATAGTTTATACCGGAAAAAAACCGGCTGATATTGAAGAAATGTATAATAAATTAGTCCTTAAAGATAAAATTAAAGCCAAAAGCGGACAAACTTGAATTTAAAAAAGTATAAATATAAAATTAAAATAAAGAGTAAAAAATATATGAAGTATCATGGTAAATCAACTATTCATCAAATATCAAATATTCCTGTGCCGTTAGGGCACAAAGAAGTAGAGAGAGTAAGCCGAAAGGCATAAAATATGAAACTTCTCCTTTCGCACTAGTAGCCTTGATAGACTAGTAGCGACTTTCCCAAGAAGTAAAAGTAGGGCAAAGAATACTCTCCTAGGTTTTAAATTAAAGTTATTTAACACTTATCAGAGTATTAAAAAAACAGTTGGCTAACTCTGCAAAAGTTAGCAAAAAAAAAACCTTTTGTCGCAAAAAAGCCTCCTTTTGCGGCTTGGGGTTAGTCTAATAATTGAGTTCTAAAATTGAATTATTAAAGTTATGAATCAGAATAATAAAAAACAGCATAAAATAAAAATTAATACCCAACATTCCCAAAATTATTTCTGAAAAAGGTTTTTTGCTAAAAAAAGCACCTGAATAATCTTGCTTTTGTATGTGGTTATTGTAAGTCTTTTCTTTTTGATAATTAATAAAGAAAGTGGTTGATTTCTCGGTAAACAAAGCAAAGAATGAGAAACTAAGGGGGAAAGTGGCGGCGAGAAACCCAACCAGCCTACAGAAAGTGGGCGAGAATCAGTTAATCCAAAAATTGACAGCATTAATGATTTTTTGACCTGTGTTTTTCCTAATTTAATTGTTCTCCCACTTTTCCTTTGAACTTATTTTTTTTTCCGCTTTCTTGGTTGTTTTGATGGCGATTTGATGAGGTGGGTCAAGCAACTCAGACCGATGGCACCGACTTGTTTTTTCTTTCCACCGAAATACCAACTAGTCGGAAACAAATTTTTAGGGGAAAAGTAGTGTTTTTAACTAAATTTTTCTCAATTTTACATTTAATTTTGTTTGCTCTGCCCCTTTCTCTCCTGTTATGAAAAGCCAATTATTTTAGTAATTTTACCGGATTACAAACTCTGCTTTTCTTAACTTGAAATTTCTTAATTACCCCTTTGTTTTTATTAGTTCCGTTGGTTATCCTCTTATTTTCTTTGGCTTCTTTGGATTCCGTCTGATATACTATTTTAAAATGGTTTGGTCGGTTGTCCATCATTTTTTTTGCTATTTTGGTAATACTAGTTGTTCAAGCCCTTTATCACGGAGGGGAAGTTGGAAAGAAAATTCTTGAATGAGGTAGAGATTTTTTTCAATGGCTAAGCCAAAATTATCTTTTAACTACTTTAACCATTATGGGAGTGATTATTGTCTTGGCTTTGTTTACTTTTTCTTTGGCTTATCGAAATTACCAAAAAAAGGATTTACATTAAAAAAGAATTGGTTTACTAGTCAAAGAATAAAACAAAAAAAATATGCCAAAAAAACATTATTGTCAAAACTGTCAGAATCCAATTGAGGAAGGCAAAGAAATTAAAGTTAAAAAAGGGTCTAATTATCATTATTCTCGTTATTCTTCATACCCACGGGATTATTATGTTTATTATCTTTGTCCGAGATGTTATCAACAGCAACACGAGGAAAGTAGAACTAGAAATGAGAGAGTTTGAAAACAAGTCAGTTTAACTTTATTGGTGGTTGTGTCGGTTCTTATAATAGGGGCAGTTATTTTTCTGGTTTATCAACGTCAACAAGATAAAAAAACGGACAGAATAACCAAAAAGTCTCAAAAAGTTAAAAAGAATTAAACTAATATTTACATTACATTGATTAATTTAGTTAGTCCTCTAACTACCAATTTTATACATTCTACTCGATGAGGAAATTGCGATATATCGCTAAATACTTGCAAGTCAGGGCAATTTTTTAGATTATGTTCTTTTTTTTCTATCATGGCTTCACAATTATTTAGTATTTTTCTGGCAAAATCTAAGTCTTTGCCCTCTAAGCATGAGCAGAGAATATTGGCGACTGCGACCGTAATCAAGCAAGATTGTTGACCTGAAAACAAACATTTTTCTAAATAATTATCTTTTTTTTTTATTAGTAAGTGAATAATATCGCCGCAGCCTGCATCCAAACTACGAAAAGTAGCAAAAGATAGTTGTCATTCCTCACTTTTTTTTTTTAACTCTTCTAATTCTATTTGCTGACTGGGCTGGCTGTAATTAGTTAGGATAATTTTTCTTTTTTGCTCGGAAGAATAAAGCATATTTATTTTTTAGGTGAGTTTTTCCTTTTCCAAAAATATAGAAATGCGGCAATAACTAAAATCAATCCTGCAACAATTCCTCCTACTATCAAAGTGGTTTTTAGAGTATTTAAGTTTTTTGGTGTTTGGTTATTAGATCTATTACCATTTTTTTCTGGGTTGGGAATTTTTGAATGGTTGGGATCTGGCTGATTATCATCCTCCGCCTTTTTTTCTTGAAAACTGTTTCAATCAAAATGTCAATCATTTTGAAAAACTAAGGTATTAAAGTTAAGTCGGTTATTCTCACTGTCAATAAGTCAGTCCTTAACTCCCATAGTAAAAGTTTTTCCTACCGTTTCGGTCAAAATATTACTATTATAAAACTTGCTTTTTGTCAAATTAGTTCAAGGGTGGGCTGTACTTGGTGGGTCATCAGTAAATTCAAAAACCAGATGAGTAATTTTTGGCAATCCTTCTATTCCTAAGTCTAGTGGCTCAATTTCTAATTCGTGGTTATAATCATTTGTTCCAACTGTTTCAGATTTAGTTTTCTTTTCGCTAACCACCTTAAAAGTAATTAAAAAAGGCACTCGTTCGACTTCGGTTACTTTTCATATTTGACTATCATCTTTAATTAATAGACCGTGATAAATAATAAAAGGTCTATCATCTGCTTTTATTTCCCGAAAATCTGGTTTAAACTGTAAATTAGTAGGAAAAGTAGTAAAAAAATCCCTAGTCGCACCAAGTTTAATTAAACCGGCCAGTGCTGAATTATCATCTGGAACTAAAAGACAAAGAAATGGCTGATTTTTAAACATAAAACCGCCGTAAAAAGCAACAAATAGATAATCTTTCCCTTTTTCGTGATAAGTTCCATATTTATTTTTGTTCTCAGCAAGAAAGGCATGAGAAAGCCGAAAAGAAATTTGGTTATTCATATGTAATTTTTTGGTGGAAATAAATAATCTGTTATTATTCTATTGCCATTTGGCGGAAGTGAGAGGATTCGAACCTCCGAATATTGATTAGATATTACTAGCTCTCCAAGCCAGCCCCTTCAACCACTCGGGCACACTTCCTTTTTTATTCTAATAACACTTCTAACTTAATTAATTTTTGAAATTTAGAACTCATTCACTCTCGTTTAGGATATTTTTGCTAGGTAATTGATAATTCATTTTACTAATTTTTCTTTTTCCGCTAAAAACTCTTGCCTTTTCTGACAGTCTTTTATTAGTATTTTTCCACTTTTTAATTCTTTTTCTCCTAATATAATCAATAATTTTGGCAGTAAAATAATAAAATGACAGATATAAAAATACCCTTTACCAAAATTGAAGTCGAAAAATACTCCGGTTCCGATAAACCAACTAATGCGGAACTTTTGACATTAAAAATTATTCCTATTACTTCTAACGATTTTTATGATAAATTTTCATTACCTTTGGATTCTGTTCTAACCAAGATAAAACTTGGTTTTATGGATGGTGCCGAAAAGGAGATTTATGATAACTTATTAGATGACAGCAAAGAAAAGTTTGAACTAAGTTTTGATAAAGAAAAAGTTAACTTTTTTGTGGTTGGGACGGAGAACGAAGAAAAGGATAATGATAAAATTGAAATTAACTACTTTCCAATTGATAGTAATGCTAGTTTAGAAATTATTTTCAAACCTCAATTTGCCGGAGTAGTTAAAATTGCCTCCAAAGATCCTGTGAAAGAACCAAATAAAGATAAAGGTAATGGAGGAGGCAACCAAAATCCTCCTTCTGATAATTCCAACGATAACCAGCAAAAAATAATTGATCTCCAAAATCAAATTAATGCCTTGGAGGAAAAATTAAAAAAACAACCTACTTCTAATAACAGTTCAGCAGATAAGGAAAAATTAGAAAGGTTAAAGTCTGAAATTCAAGGATTGAAAAAGAAGCAAAGAGGAAAACAAAACGAAGGAGGCAATAAAAAAAATGATTTCCCTACTGGGCTAGTTATAGGTGGTGGAGCAGTAATTTTTCTCTTACTAATTGCAGTTATTTTTTTCTGACAACGGAGCAGAAAGAATTAAAAATTATTAATGACTCTCCCTAACAAGCCCCGTGGCACCCAGGATATTTATCCGCCCCGTTCCCTAATTTACCAAAAAGTCCAGCAAATTATTACGGAAATACTTCGCAAAAATAATTATCAGCCAATAATTTTCCCTACTTTTGAAGCCCAAGAA